TTTTTAACCTTAAACTGCATAAACACATTTCATTACACCAAATACACAAAATAATGTTCTTTTTTTAGCAACATCATATGACCCCTTTAAAATGTTTTTTTCTCTCGTGTTGTTGTATTTCCTGTTGAAATGTGAAAATCCATATATTGGGTCAGTTTACCAGAAAAGACCGTACATTTTACATGTTGAATGTTTATTTGGTAACACTTTACAATAAGGTTAACATTTGTTAACTACAGCAGTTAACATGAATAATACTTTTAAAGCATTTATTAATCTTACTTAAATGTACATTTAGACATTTACTAATACATCATTAAAATCATATATGTATCTGTTAATATTATTTAATGGAGCTCATCTAACATGAACTAACAATGAATAGTTGTATTTTTTTATTAAATAATGTTAACAAAGATTAATAAATACTGTAAGAAATGTGTTGCTCTTTGTTAGATAGTGATAGATAATGCATTAAGTAACTAATGGGACCTTACTGTAAAATGTTACCATTTATTTAGTCAACTAGCACTAGCATTAAAAAAAAACTTCAGTGATTATATTTTATCTTCAAACAACAAGTCAAAAAAGCAGGGGTGCAACTGATCATAAATCTCACAGTTCGGATCATATTACAGATTTTAAATCACAGAACTTCCTCTGTACAGACAAAAACACAGACATTTTTTCAAAATATCTTCTTTTGTGTTCTGCTGAAGAATGTGGGTTTGGAAAGACATGAAGGTGATTAAACAATGACCGAATTCTTCCTTTAATGTTCTGAATAAGCCTTGATGGTCTTAAATAAGCCTGAATAAGCCTTAATGCTTATTTTTTTGTAGATTTTGGGGTTTTCTAGACATGTTTTGTAATATTCACCGCTACACTACATTCTATATAGTAGGGTTTGAGTGGTCATTATAGAAACACATGCTGAAGAGCAGCTCTAAATATAGCGTGAGACTCTAAACGTGTTCAAGCATTAGGCGTCCAGTCAACACCAGACATCCTGACCTCTCACAAAACCATTTCATCCACTACAGCACCTGTTTCTGATGGGACCGATACAATGAAAACCCTGCTGATGACATCAACACACACTCACACGTCAAAATCATCTGCATTAGAAAGCATTTCAAGTGGGTCTGTGAGTGTGAGTGTGTGTGTGTGTGTAACAAATCGCAGTGTTGTTAGTCTGAATTAAAAGTGATAAAAAGTGAAAAACCAAAGACTCTATCAGTGTTATTTTAATATTATTTGTGTGCTATTACAGTATTTATTAATGTTTTTAACTTTTTATTTCCATTTTTAATTTTAGTTTGTTTTAGTAATTTTGTTTAATGTGTTTGTCATTTTAATTACTTTTAGTGTAGTTTAATCTTATTTCTATTCAGTTTTATTTAGTACTTCAGTTTAAAATGTCATTTTTTTGTTGGCAATGCAACATTTCTCATTTTCATTTAGGTTTTGCATCTGATAGTTTTATTTTCTTTTACTTCAGCTTAGTTTCAATTACCAAAAACGGTTTTAAATTGTTTTCTGGTATATAGTATACAGTATACACACACACACACTATATATATATATATATATATATATATATATAGTGTGTGAGTGGGTAATATTTTATATATATATATATATATATATATATTAGTAAGCACATTGCTCTATTGCATTGTCAAAAACAAAAATACAGCGCAACCACTGTGGACTGATTCACAAACAAATGACTCATAAAGTCTTCGAAATCTTTTCATGAATCACTCAAAAGGACTCACAAACTATAATTAACTCATTAATTGCCCAATCTGTAAAAATGTTACTAAACTAACATCTCTGACTACATGTTTGCGTGTAAAGTAATAGTTCACCCTAAAATGAAAACCCTGTCAACATTTACACATCTTCATCTCTTTGAATACCCATATGACTTTCTTCTATGGAATACGAATGTGGAAGCCAATGTCTTCCAAGTAATCAGCTGTCAAGCAAGATTTTCAGTGAATAGTAACTTTAGTGTCTGTTCCTTACGCATATCAGTAATATGGCTTCAGAAGATCTGGGATATAGTTTACAAGTCACATGGACTGCTTTCTTTGATGCTTTAATCATGGCTAAAAAAAAATTTTTTTAAATCCCTGGTAGCCCAAGATGAATTTAACTAGCCCAAATAAAAAAAGACATCGGCTGAAATTCATTGTGGACAAATCAGCATGATCGAAAACTTCTATGATTGTATTTTTTCTTCAAATAACAAGTCAAGAGAGTAAGGGTGCAACGGATCACAAAACTCAGAGTTCGGATCATGTTACAGATTTTGAATCACAGATCGGGTCATTTTTCTTTATTATTTAAAGAACACTTTAAATATTTATTTGATACCACAGCAAAAACTAGTAGCGTAACTAATAAAGGTCAAACATTTTTTGAACAGTCAGTAATAAAATAAGAACAAATAAACAAATTACAAGCATAGATAAAACAAAGTTACAAACAAAAAGTCTAACATTAGTTTTCAGGTACAGAAATGTAATTAAGTGTAAAATAACACTGCACAGTGTTCACTGTATAAATTAAATATAGATTAAATCTTTGTTAAAGCTGTATTTTGTTGTGTGATTAACATTAATGACACAGACAGCAGCAGGTTTTTATAGGCTGCTGCCCCTTTAAGACCGACTCTTGATTGTTTAAACTGACAAGATTTAGAAACGTGCAAATGATCAACTACAATCCGTTTATCCCCTACATACTTGTAATCAGACTAGATTTACTTCATATTAATTACATGATGACATATTACAATTAGGGTTGCAAAAAGGTGGAAAATTTCCAGTAAATTTCGGAAACCTTCCAGGATTTTTTTTTGGAACGTTTCCAGAAATTTTCCACCCTTTTGCAACCCTAATTACAATTGCATTACATTGAAAACACATTAAATGCACAAATTCACTTTACTCTTATGTAATGCAGGGATTCCAAAACTTTTTTTTGTCAGCCGAACATCTTTCACTTAATATATTTACTTCAAGATTTTAAGGTAACTCGTTTTTTTTTCACATTTGCAGGTTCACGTAACAAATGAAAATTTTTTATTTAACATTTTTATGATTTCACTGATTACTAGCTTTTCATTAAACCTTGATGTAATGTCATGTTTAATGCACTATAATGTTGTTACTAAAAACAAATAGAATATATTTTCTATTTTAAAACAAGATTATGCTATTTAAATAATGTGGTAAACGACTAAGGTCAAAAGTAATCTAGAAGTAGTCAGATTATATTACTTAAAATGTGTAATGTAATGGATTACGTTACTAACTACAATTTTAGTCATGTAATTTGCAATCAGTAATGGACTATCCTACAATTTGTCAGTAATCTACCCAGCACTGGCCACTGGTCACCATTCACTTTCGTCTTTCCCAAAATTAGACATGACCTAAGAAACAGTACAAGCAACTGACTGCAATGTCCATCAATCACAGCCTCATTTCAGTTGTGTCAAGTTAAACACGGCATCTGACTACAGTCCGTATCTACAAGAGAATATTATCACTCCCTTGTCAAATACTTCTTATTTGTCCTTTTTTCTCTCTCTGCTGCAAGCGCTTCTCCAGAACGAGAAACCCCAGTAATGTGTACATTCATCTCTGTTCCTGGATGTCTGAGTGTATGAGGGAAGTGGGCACAGATGGATTGTGGGTAGCTTTCGGATGTAGCGCCGCTTCACCCACCCACACGCATACTCACATAGAGATCATCATCATCATCATCATCAACATCACTCAAGCCGGGTCAGACCTGGCCTTCCTGCGTTCAGTAATGACGGACTTTATGTTCATGTAGTTCCAGACACACACTTATGTAAACAAACACACACACACAAAAGAACTCACGATCACGAGTGGGCTGAAGTGGTGCTTAATAACTATCACAAACACGCATGAATACAAATGAAGCCAAACGGCTTTTCATCCTTTATGCTGCTCTTTATACGTCCATCACTCACTTCCCTCCTCCTCTCCGAGAGAAAGAGAGATGAAAGAGAAGCGAATGAGATGAGCGAACAGACGAAGAGGAACCGCACAGTCATCAGCTAAAAATACACCTCTGTATATGAAAGCCTTTTAATCATATTCTATATATACCTTAGGACTGAGTTATTTGATCTGAAATGGCCTAAATGAAATGCTTTTTCAGTCAGAAGATCCATCATTTCAGCTATCATTGCCAAGAAGATAAGGAATATTCTTGGTTTAGTACAAGTTAAGCTCAATCAATCGCATTTGTGGAGTTAATTAACATAAAAAATGACTTCATCTTAAAAAAAAAAAAAAAAGGAATAATCTGGTTTACAGTGAAGCACTTACAATGGTGGAATGGACAATCTGTAACATTTAAGTAATCAATGTTTCAATATCACATCCACAAAACATTAACATAATTTTTTGTAAAAAAAAAACAAACACCTAAAACGACCATAAAATGACAAGAATGATTTGACAGTTCAAATAATACACAGGAAAATTCATTTTAGGTGCTTTTATAAAACTAAGAGCTTCACATTTTAATACCTCTAAATATTGGCCCCATTCACATCCACTGTAACCCAGATTTTGACTTTTTTAAAGAAAGATAAGGACAAGCTGAACCTGTATTTAACCGGAATATTGCATATCCTTCAAAATATTAAATGAAAAAAAAATACTGTCAACTGCAGTAAAAATCCAACTAAAGTTGTGCACTAAATGTAGTAGTATGCTATTAGGAACATCATGTTCACTGTCACGATTATGCACCATGAATCCCTGAATCCAGCCATATTATACCTAACAATGCATATACAAACACCCACAACATACAACAGACAGGCAGCAACATAAGCACCCTGAAGGTCTGTCCACACAGAGCCGCCGACATACTGCAGACAGAAACATGGCAACAAGTACACAGTATGAGAATACAACCGTATGAGAATAGTACACACTCACCATGTCATCCAGCGCGTAACGCAGGAGTCCATGTTCATACAGAAGGAAAAAACGCCTCTGCCATTTCTGAAAGAGAAGAAATTGAGATTCCATGAGTGAAAATTGATGTTTTAGATCTGGAAAGCGTTTTAAGTCTGACTTAAGTGTCTAAATAGCTTTTTAGGGCCAGTGTATACAAATTATAATGTATATATCATCAGGCAGGCTGACTGATATGGTACCTGCATGACTGATTTACAGAAGTGGTAACTTCCTGTTACTGTAAACTGGCATTTTCCTCAATTAATAAACATTTTCTGTTTTCAAATATGTGCATTTGGGGTAAATATTTTGTAATAATTAATTTTATTTACAAACACACTATATTGTATACACAATTTTGTCAGTGTCATTAAAATGCATTTTATATATTTATTGATTTTTCGAGATTAGCAATAGCCATTTGTTTGACCACCACATCCTACATGAACATACTTGTATATACTACATATACTTTGGGTTATTTTTATCATCTTTCCATCTTGCTTGTCAATCTGTGATTTCCTGTTTGCTGTCGAATCGTTTCCAATCCCACAAACTCCCTCTCCGGCTGTTTCTCACAAATTCAGCTTGAGAGAGAATGAGAATGAGTCAGCGACTCCACGGCCCCCTCAAACACACACACACACTTGACTCGTTCGTCCCTTAACAAGCACACATACTGTACAGTAAACACGCACACTCACATACACACAGAAAAGCAGCAATCTCTTCACTCACACACAATATGTGATAATAGAGAAACAATTCTGGGCCCTCATTTATCAAGAGTGCATAGAAAAGGTTCTATATTTTGTCCTACGAATGAAATTTAAAATGTGTGTAAGTACAGAAAAATCTGTATTTATCAAACGTGCACACCAGTAAGTAATGATTGTTGATAAATCCCACATGTTCTTAAGCACCATGCTCGTTCATGTTCATGGTCATTTGCATTCAGAAATGCCTCCAATGAACCATATATAGTGACAACACCTCCCTTTATTATCACGTGAACGTATACGTCCTCACCGAAGTCATGGCAAAGAAAGCGGGAAGTCATTCTGTGCTCTCACTAAACAGATCAGAAAAAAAACGCGTTCTCTGTGCAGCGCATGGTTCGCCAAATCTTCCAGCAAAGCGAGATCAGCCATGACCATATAACTACATTTCCAATCGACTTCCCAACTCTCATTTATAGCTTTTCACACTAATTGTGCAAATGTTTAGCTTGCAATATGAAATTATTAATTGAGTATTTGCAGTTAAAAGACACAGGACACATGCGGCAGCACTTTCTTTTTGTAGTATGGCCATTCTACCACTAGATTCTCTACGTAAGCATGCTCAGAGTTGTGCTTACATTTACACACATTCCTATGTGTAAGTACAAGTTGATAGATCCCACACTTTGCGTGAACTTTTCTTACGCACTCATTATGCACACATCTGTGCGTACTCACTGTTGATAAATGAGGGCCCTAGTCCTTTGTTGCATTAAATATTATGCATGACATCTAGTATGTTCTTGAATATATTAAACCGCACTAACGATTATAATTTAACCCTCATGTTTAAGACTTAAGGTTAACTTTTTTAGGTCCGAGGTCCCAGAGACCCAATGACATGTGTGTGTGTGTGATTATATATATATGTGTGTGTGTGTGTGTGTGATTATATATATATATATGTGTGTGTGTGTGAAATATGGACCTGGACTTCCATGATATTTGCTCTATTAATGCAGGTGAGAACTAAACTTGACTGAACAGCACATTCTGGAATGTTTCTAAAAATAGTTTTTCTTAAATAGTTTTGCCAAAATGAATTTGCTAGGTAAAAAGCGCACAGCTGAATTATAATCCATATGCAGTGCAATTATACGAACCCGTGATCTGTGCAGAGGATTGTCAAAGTTTGTTCCTTCAGGTGCCAGGAGCAGCCATCCACCATAGATGGGTTTTGCCTGAAACATGCAACACACGTGTAAGAACAATGAGACCATGATTCAAGACAACTGACCATTTTTTTTTTATATATATATTTTTTAGATATTTTAGATAAATTTCCCAAAAAGACTCATGGCTGTATTAGTTCAAAAGGGTGCTTCTACTAAATACTGAGCAAAGGGTCTGAATACTTAGGACCATGTGATATTTCAGTTTTTCTTTTTTAATAAATCTGCAAAAATGTCAACAATTCTGTGTTTTTCTGTCAATATGGGGTGCTGTGTGTACATTAATGAGGAAAAAAAATTAACTTAAATGATTTTAGCAAATGGCTGCAATATAACAAAGAGTGAAAAATGTAAGGGGGTCTGAATACTTTCCGTACCCACTGTATATGCACATAAAAAACAAACTGTGGTTGGTCGCTTTAAATGTCAGTCAGATGGTCTCTTTTTGTCTGCAATGTGGAACAGACTTCTCTCCTATAGTCAGAAAAACTCTGATCATCACACTGGGATATGATAAAGTATTTTAACATTGAAAAGCACGTTTCACCTTTAAAGAAACATGCCACAGAAAAACACCAAAACAGGAATAACATCTCTGCATGTGAACCTCCTGTGACTGCACAACAAAGTGCCGACAGACGGATTTGTAATATTACAGAGACCTCAAAGAAAGCACGCATGAGAGAAAAATGAAACGCTAGGGGAAAATTAAGGTTTCTCTTCCAAAGCTCAGCAGACTTACTGGAGATCTCAGATAAGTTTCATTTTAGTACCAACTTGTTTTTTTGTTTCTCCTAAAATAGAAAAGAGAAACAAATGAGACCATAGTTGATATAAAGAAAGTATAAAGCTATAAAATAATAGGTCAAGTTTGATTGCATTTTTATTTTTTTTGGCTAATCTCGCCCAGTTAGTTGAAATCTCTTTTGAAACTCCAGAGGAGAAACATGAGATTATAAGTGTCTTTTTTTTTCTCAGGAGAAACTTCTGAGAAGCAAGAGACTTCTGTCTGTCTAGGAGAAACAAATTCGAAATTAAAGAGATCCGAGTTAATTTTCCTCTCCTGAGGTATGGAAAAGAAAGAGCGAGCGAATGAATGCCAGTTTATCGTCTGGTTAAAGGAATGTCGGTTTGACAACTTGAACGATGGCCCGTGAAAAAGTCTGAGCAAAAGAAAAACGTTAGAAAAAAGTAAGACTCCTCAGATCAAGTGCAAGAGGCACAAGACAAAAGTGAAATTCATTCTTCTAGTTCTTGCACGGCTTCACTGTACTGACCCTTCCAAAAATAACCCTAAATATTAAACTTATGCAATTAATTAAACCTAACAAATTAAAGAGCATGTGCATAATTTCAGTCAGATTTTTGTAAACTTAAGCTCAGCATTCAAAATATACTATATATATAACAATGACGTACTGAACTGTGCTTGCTACAGTCTGATGAAAATGAAACGTACCTACAAGTTTAAGACTATGCTTTTCCTTCAGGAAATGCAAATCTAGTTTCTCCTGATCTCCTGCTAATGGGAGACTCTGTGCTCTGGGAAATCAGTGATGAGGAGCGGACAGGGACGCAGAGAGAGACAGAGAGAGAGAGAGAGAGAGAGAGAGAGAGAGAAAGAGAAAGAGAGAAGGGCTAATGTAGGCCAGATTTTCCTCTTCAATGGTTAAAGTTTGTTCTGTTTATTTTTACAGCCCCCCTTTTTCTCTCATAACAGCAGAACTGAGCGCCGACTGTCTCACAGAGTGTGTGTGTGTGTGTGTCTGTGTGTGTGTGTGTGTGTGTGTGTGCGTCAAGGGGGAGGGTGGATTCTAATAGCATGACAAAAAGCATGGACATAAATATGTGTGGAATGAACAACTCGGAAAAACCTGACCAACTGCAGCGAGACAGAAAGAGGGAGAGAGAGACGGGTATATTGACGTCTGACAGAACGACAGCCCTGAATCATTATGACGGCCTCGTGCGCCGTACACCTGAACAACAACAGCTAGCATAGGGTTTTGTATTTTCTGATGACAATGTGAGCAATGTTTGCCAAGCAATGCATGATGCTAGGATGTTGTTGTCGGTTTCTACATCTGAATCAAACTGTGCATTTAAGTGAAAGTATGCATAAAACTCTGGACTCTGGAAATAATTATGTCAAGATAAAATCAAAACTGACTTAGAGATTAGAGGCGTAATATGCTGAGATGTCATAATATTACTGAGAAGTCATAATATTAGAAGAAAGTTGTAGTATTAGTAGAATAAAGTTGCAATATGAATAAATTTATATGTAATATGAATATTTTGAGAATGAAGTAGTATATTGCACAAGTCCAAGAGGCATTCTATTCATTGTAATAATGATGCCCTTTCTCCTACTATTGTGGGTTTTTATATTATAAAATACATATGTCATTTTCGCCACTGGAGGGCACGTATTCATAATAAACAAAGAAGCAAAGGTGTAGTTTGATGAGGCAGTGGCTGAGTGTGGATTCATGGGAGTTGTGGTCTTCATCCTCACAGCTGATGCGATCCGACAGGACTCGGGCAGAAATCATGTTCATGGATGAGCTAATGATTTATTAACGTAGTAGTATGAAGCAGGGTGAGGCTGAAAGCCGTCGAAGCGAAACGAGGCGCTGAACGAGCGTGACACAAGGCTCGAAAGCAGCGGAGCTTTTATTATGCCACAGTCGAGCACTTCCGCTGCTTCCGGTCGTGCATATGTGGGGTAAAGCAGCAGAGCTTTTATTATGCCACAGTCGAGCACTTCCGCTGCTTCCGGTTGTGCGTATGTGGGGTAAAGCAGCAGAGCTTTTATTATGCCACAGTCGAGCGCTTCCGCTGCTTCCGGTTGTGCGTATGTGGGGTAAAGCAGCAGAGCTTTTATTATGCCACAGTCGAGCACTTCCGCTGCTTCCGGTTGTGAGTATGTGGGGTAAAGCAGAGCTGTTTTATCATACTAGATATGTTTGAAAGTTCTGTTATAAAGCTACTCTGTGCGGTCGTCACCGGTCTATTAAAACGCACAACATATTAAAGCGTCTTTGGTGTTTCCATGTTTTCTACAAAACAAAACGGAAATCGAGGGGTTATGACGTCATTGGCAGGCGACACAATGACACTATGGACACGCTCCGTTTCACAAGTTAAAATTGCTTATTTCTCTGGATTTAAACATTCTTCGAAACATTTGGGATAGTGCAAATACACAAGTCAGCAAAATATATAACACTGTTCTATTGGTTTTTGGATATTTTAATAAAAAAATCTTACATATTGTGCCTTTAAACACACAATATACTACTTCCTTCTCAAAATATTATGACTTCAATCTTGTACTGCATCAACTGTATCCTCATAATACTATTAATTTATTTTCGCATTTTTGACTTCATTCTCAAAATGTTGCGATTTTAACCTTGTAACGCTAGGAATTTATTTATGATTTTTTATTCTCAGTTTTGACTTTATATTCAAAACATTAACTTTAACCTTGTATTGCTATGACTTTATTCTTGCAATTTTGACTTGATTCTCAAAATTACAACTTTAATCATATGATGACTTTATTTGGACTCAAAATATTTTGAGTATTTGAGCTTGCATTTCTGACTTCATTCTCATAGTTTTCACTATGCTTAAAATTTGACAACTTTATTCTTGTTTTGCCATTACATTTTTCATATTTGTAACATTTTTACATGACACTAAAACACCAAAAACAAAAACATAACTTTCCTTTCCTTAACTCAAACACCTGTAATTGAGAGACATTTGCACCACCTAATCAGTTCTCAATGGATAAAATTAAGCCGTCCCTTTTTTCTAATTAAATATCTCGGATTTATTTAGAAATACATCACATCACAGAAGTAAAATGGGTTTCTTTAGAGCAAGAAGACAGAAGAAATAAGAATTAAATACAAAATAAATTCACTGGGAAGGTTATGACTGCAAATCTGAACTTCTAAAAAACGTAAGATCCACAAATAGGAGGATAAGACTCTTAACATATGACTCTGACTGCCTTAACAGGTACTAAAGTCCTGATTCACTTCACTGTCAACTCAATTTCTAAGTGCTTTCTAAAAAAAGACTTCTGTGCCGCTTTGAGGCTCATTTCTCTGGATTTCTCTCTCACATTCAAAGACACAAGCACTTGCTTCCACGTCCAAATATTCAGTCTTTCTTTGCTTCATCACTTTATTCTTTGATAACAATCCAACCTATACAGTGAGACAGATGGCAAACGGAGGCCACGTCACTTAGTAATATAGCCGAGACCCAGCTGTGTGTGGTAATTTTGAAGAATACAGTCTGGAAACCCCCCCTGTATCTGCGTGTGGCCTTACCGTAAAACTGTAATGGAGTTGGAATAAAGCTTAAAATAGTATAAAGCTCCGATATGACACGTATCTTGGGTCTACAGCTGGTGAAATAACACTAAACTATGCAACTAATTAGTAAATTAGCAGACACTTCTACCCAAACAGGGTCAGTCCTCTTGGACTTGATCAAGGTCACAATGGTGATGGGTTCGAACCCACAACCTTTTAATTACCAGCCCAGATTTTTAGCCATGCAAAACTAGACGACCAGTTTAAATCTTCTAAACAACGAGTGCAGCAGCTTGAAGCACGTCACTTAACTACAATGTGCATCTGCTAAACGACATCATTAATTACTACTAATCACTAATTAGTCTGGCTGACACCTTTACCCAAAGCAGCAGTTCACCAGAAACGGGTCAGTCCTCCAGGGGTAACCTGAGGGTAAGTGCCTCGATCAAAGCCGTAATGGTAATTAGAATGGATTAACCTGTCTAGGGTTTGAACCTACAACCTTTCAAGCAACCCTGATATTTAACCACTACTCCAAAGCACATGCTGTGGAAAAAACAGATGTTATTAGGCTGCGTTTACACTGCAAGTCTTAATGCACAGATCCGATCTTTTGACCATATCCGATTTTTTGGCACGTCTGTTTACATTCAATTTAGACACGACCGGTATCCGATATCTGTGTTTACATAATTCCCACCCAAAATTATTGTGAGTGATCGCTTTATAGACACATGGTAGACCCTCCGGTTCTGAATGGCCGTGCTATTAAATTATTTATATAATTCACATCGAGTGGTCATTGAGCTATTATTTGCCAGCATGGACAACGGCTGTCATGGATGTTTTGCAGCTCAAAATCTGACTGAACGGATAAATAATGGAAAACGACGATCATTTTCATTTGGTATGCTATTTTATACTGCTCGTTAGAGATAGAATTCTTTAGTGAAATAAAGTATGAATTTGAATGAATTAACGAGAGAGAGAGAGAAAGAGAGAGAGTGTGTGAAGCTTGCAAACAAGTGAAAGTTATCACCTCATTGCTAAGAAAAATAATGTAGCTTTTAGTAGCGAAGCTGTTGTATTAATAAAATTCACGGGACAGGGGTTGAAAACCAGCTCCTGAATATGCTATTTTTTTTTTAAAGTTTCCATCTCTATAAAATGCGAGCGCATACAGCTCTCCGGCATTAAAATGCTATCTTTATGGGCAGACGTGTCGCCCTCGCATTGGGAGTTCTGCGGGGAATCGGATATGTGTGTTTAGACGCAGGTCGGATGTCCAGATATCGGATATGTATCCGATTAAAATCCACATTTTAAAGTGGCTCAGATCGGATGCGAAAAAAATCGGATCTCGTGTGAATTTTCGGGTTTACACGCATGCATCAAATTCCGATCTGTGTCAGATGTGGGCAAAAAAATTTGATTTTTTCTGCCAGTGTAAACGCAGCCTTAGTTATAAACCTGTGGTCTAGTTTCACAAATAGGGGGAATTCAGGTAAAAATGTCAAAAGGTGGTTCAGTATAGTCAAATTCACATTATATACCCATGTAATAATAAATGTTACCATATGCATAAACCATGGTTTTTACATAATACATTTACCTCCAACAAAACCATGGCTCTACCACAGTACAAGTCAAAAAACATGGCATTATGGTGAGGTAGTCATACTGTGCTAATAACCATCCTCTAAAATAGGCTGTGCCTCAAATCCTAATGAGCAGCCAAACTTGGACCATGGTGCCACGTCTAAAAACCATGCTATTACTATAGTACTTTATTGTGAGTGTAGTTTTTAAGTAGTTTGGTGGTTATCCAGCGCTTCAGCTTGGCTTTAATATGACATTGAGGCCTGGATAGAAATCTCTCAGTTGCCTTTAAAAAAAAAAAAGTTAAATATATATAATAAAATAATCATTTAAATTGTATCCCTTTATTGTTTTTTTATATTTAATATTTTTATTTTATTTATTTAAATAGTTACTTCATTATATATCTACTAACTATACAATATAATGTTTTTTACCATAGTATATTACCATGTTTTTTTAATCATACTTCATTTATTTCCAACAATACCATGGGATTACCCATTCATGTTATGTCCAAAAACATGAATTAGAATTATGCTGCGTTATTTATATTTTTCTAATTCTCATCCCCCTTTGACCATGTTACCATGTCTAAAAAGCACAGTATTACCATGGTACTTTACAGTTAGTGTACACTCTAAAAAATGCTGGGTTAAATACAACCCAGTGCTGGGTCAAATATGGCCAAACCCAGCAATTGGGTTGTTTTGACCCAGCGGTTGGGTTACTACCCAGAAGGTTGGATTAAACGTTTAACCCAACCGCTGGGTCAAAACAGCCCAATTGCTGGGTTTGGCCATATTTGACCCAGCACTGGGTTGTATTTAACCCAGCATTTTTTTTGAAGAAGTTCCAGCCAGCGCTTCTGCTTAGCTTTAATACGGTATGGGGCCCTGGACAGAAATCATTCAGTTGCTTTAATATAGATATATATATATATATACACTCTAAAAAATGCTGGGTTGTTTCAACCCAACTTTGGGTCAAATATGGACTAACCCAACCGTTGGGTTAAATTTTTACATGACATTTTTAACCCAAAAGTTGGGTTAGTCCATATTTGACCCAAAGTTGGGTTGAAACAACCCAGCATTTTTTTAGAGTGTATGTATATATATATATATATCTATAAACATTTAATTGTATATATTTATTGTTATTAAATAGTTATATATATATATATGTTTTTTAATTAATTTATTTAAATAGTTACTTCATTATATCGTTGTATATCTACTATATACAGTATACTATGTTTTTTACCATAGTATATTACCATGGTTTTTATCACACTTCATTTATTTCCATGGCATTACCATAGTACATAGTATTATGCTAAGTCATTTATATTTTGCTAACTCTCATCCCCCTTTGACCATGTTACCATGTCTATAAAGCACAGTATCACCACGGTTCTTTAGAGTTAGTGTAGTTTTGAAGCAGTTAGCTGGTGATTAGTGAGTTACGCTGTAGGTTATCAGACAGAGCTTTAGTCTAAAGTAATGATTAGATCCGTTACCTGTGTGAAGTCTTCATCACTCAGCAGGTGCGCGTCTCGAGCTTTGAAGCAGTTCTGGCATTTACTCTTGTTGAAAATATTGGCCTGGAATTTTCGGCAGGCGTTATCTTTAGCAGACATACTCTGTGTGTGTTTGTGCTCCCGTTTTTCCGTTATTTTAAAAACTGCGCAATAATTCCAGCGGAGGGTCCTCCCCCGCGCGCTGCAGTCCGCCTCATCACAAACTCACTACGATGATTTATTTTTGCACAATAATCACCTGATACCGAAACTCCATGATGCGCTTCAGAGTGGATTCTCTCTCGAGTTTCTGCTCCAAAGACGGATTTATGTCCGTTTCCCACGATCACAGCTGATCACACGGGTCCGGCTGCGCTCTCACACACACTACACACTCAACACACACACACACACACACACACACACTACACACTCAACACACACACACACACACACACACACACACTCAACACACGCACACACACACACACACACACACACACACACAGGAATGAAGGGGGCGGGGCACGACGCAACTGACATACACCGTAAGCCAATCACAGGAAGGGATACGCCTACTGTTTGTAGCCAGAGGACGGAAGTGTCCAATCACATTGATTTTATGTGGAATAACAAGAATCAAGGTAGGTGGACTGCGCACGGGGTAAACTGAAGTTATTTAAACTTAGTCAGTATTTTATATATATTTAAACTGTGTTTTTAGTGCTTTTCGTCTCGTTGTGAAACGAAAAAGCGCAACGTTAAGATTTTTGTTAACGCCCCCAGATAGTGACCAACCCTACCTGAGCGGCTCTCCAGGGCCCCCGTTTGGCATTAATGCGGTATGAGAGCCTGAGAAAAAAATATTAGTAATTATATATATCATATATATTATTATTAGTATTAGAAGTAGTGGTAGTAGTATTTAATAATATATAATAAAACAATAATAATTAAAATATTTTAAATGCTATTTCATTGTATTTTAATACTAACATTTTAACACTTAACTTTAATGTTATATATTTATTGATACTTTTATAATACAAATATTAAAATATTTTAGATTTAAATAATGAATTGTATTATTGTATATCGTTATGTATTGTAAATATGTTAAAATATATTTTAATAAAATATTTATTTAGAATTTCATTACACTATATTAAAATAAATATTTTTCATTTTTTGCTATTGCCATCTCCACAGCGGGATCTTAACATCACTGTGCAACACACACAAAACTCACATGGTAGGTACTCAGACATACTTCAAAGAATATCACGATGCTGTCAAAAAACATAATATGAGTACTTTTTGTGAAATAATAAAATGTGCATGAATAAACATGTACTGTATGCAATTTCAGTGTGCGATGAAAATGAATGTTGGCCATTTATGTCACCTGGATTTGGTTCCCAGTATCTGTCCCACCACCAGGTTAGAAATGCCGATGCCGATCATCTGTACAGATGTGGCCAGTCCCATCGCTGTGCCCAGTGTGGCTTGAGGAACCACCAGCGGGATGGAGGGCCACATGCTCGCCTACAACACACCAAATAATAAAAAACAATGATAAACTGGAGTTCAACAGCAGGAATTCAATATGTCATGCAGTGTTTATCACAGGTCTTTTCTTTCATTTTATTTGCAAAACATTTGAATTCAGAATAATGGCACAATATGTTCTAGGTGAAATGACACACAAACGAAATAGAAAACAGATAAACAAATGTCAGTCTAACAGAAAGACGTATGTTTAACTTTACTATCCAATGTTATACCATAGGTCTTGGATATACATTTTCTTTAGCTTTATTTGTGAAACATATGTGGAAAATTTGTGCAATATAAGCTTTGTATATAATTAATATATACAAATAATATTAATATTATTTATAATACATATACACACATTCAAATTTACTTCTAGATTTTTACAATTTACATGTATTCATTTTTTTATATAATTATTTCCTATCTATCTATCATTTATCTATCTATCATCTATCTGTCTATCATCTATCTATCTATCTATCATCTATCTGTCTATCTATCGGTCTATCATCTATCTATCTATCAGTCTATCTATCTGTCTATCATCTATCTGTCTATCATCTATCTATCATCTATCTGTCTATCTATCTGTCTATCTTTCTATCATCTATCTATCATCTATCTATCTATCTGTCTATCATCTATCATCTATCTGTCTGTCTATCATCTATCTGTCTTCTATCTATCTGTCTATCATCTATCTATCTATCATCTATCTGTCTATCTATCTGTCTATCATCTATCTGTCTATCATCTATCTATCTATCTATCTGTCTATCTGTCTATCATCTATCTATCTATCATCTATCTATCTATCTGTCTATCTGTCTATCATCTATCTGTCTATCATCTATCATCTATCTATCATCTATCTATCTATCTTCTATCATCTATCTATCATCTATCTATCTATCATCTATCTGTCTATCATCTATCTATCTATCTATCTATCTATCTATCTATCTATCTATCTATCTATCTATCTATCTATCTATCTATCTATCTATCTATCTATCTATCTATCTATCTATCTATCTATCTATCTATCTATCTATCTATCTATCTATCTATCTATCTATCTATCTATCTATCTATCTATCTATCTATCTATCTATCTATCTATCTATCTATCTATCTATCTATCTATCTATCTATCTATCTATCTATCTATCTATCTATCTATCTATCTATCTATCTATCTATCTATCTATCTATCTATCTATCTATCTATCTATCTATCTATCTATCTATCTATCTATCTATCTATCTATCTATCTATCTATCTATCTATCTATCTATCTATCTATCTATCTATCTATCTATCTATCTATCTATCTATCTATCTATCTATCTATCTATCTATCTATCTATCTATCTATCTATCTATCTATCTATCTATCTATCTATCTATCTATCTATCTATCTATCTATCTATCTATCTATCTATCTATCTATCTATCTATCTATCTATCTATCTATCTATCTATCTATCTATCTATCTATCTATCTATCTATCTATCTATCTATCTATCTATCTATCTATCTATCTATCTATCTATCTATCTATCTATCTATCTATCTATCTATCTATCTATCTATCTATCTATCTATCTATCTATCTATCTATCTATCTATCTATCTATCTATCTATCTATCTATCTATCTATCTATCTATCTATCTATCTATCTATCTATCTATCTATCTATCTATCTATCTATCTATCTATCTATCTATCTATCTATCTATCTATCTATCATCTATCTGTCTATCATCTATCTATCTATCTATCTATCAATCATCTCTGTCTATCATCTATCTGTCTATCTATCATCTATCTATCTATCTATCATCTATCTATCATTCTATCATTCTATCATCTATCTATCATCTATCTATCTATCTATCGGTCTATCTATCTATATAATAAATTAGTAAATATAGAAATATATATAAATATCTCTAAATAAAAATGTAGATATTTTATATTATATTATAACATGAAGGGGAGAGTGGGGTGAGATGTGAAATTGCAAGGTGGGATATAATTATAAGGGTTCAATCCAATCAAGGATGATTTTGTAAAGATATTTTAAGTTTTTAAAAATAGAAAATAACAAATCTAAAAAAAATATTGCTATATTAAAATATTCTGAATACACTCCTTTTTTTCTGGTTTACAGCTAACATATCATTATTAAAATGTAAATAACATACAGCACTTTAGAAGACTTAAAATTAAGAATGAATTAAATGTGAATTTTTCATTCATCCTGAAATATAATTTGCTGTATTTTTCTTTTTTACTTTCTAATCTTATCCTGCAAACCAATCTCAGATGTCTCATGTTTTAAAATGTCAGAAATGATGATGTCACAAATGATCAATACTTCAACCAATCACACGGTCTCTTACAAAGTTGGCAGACCACACAATTGTGAGTGTACTTTAATACTTCAGTAACATCGTATAACTGGCGTCTATAGTGTATGTCTGTGTGTGTGTTCATGATTGATACTCACAGCAGCGAACGAGTAAGTGATGCCGAGCCAGATGGTAGATATGAGAGGAGGGACGAACGTGAAGGCCAGCAGACCAAACACAGGCAGCGTCAACACGGCACAGAGCCCCGCAAACACACCGCGCAGCCCCACATAGTCCTACAGCACAGACACAAACACCATTAACATTAAACACATGACTGAAAATACAACGGAAGACAAAGTCCTTTAGTGGCATCATATAGTGATGCTATTTATATTTCATGATACATTTAATACGTTTGGGGTTGGTAAGATTCTTTTAATAATTTCAGAAGAAGTCTCTTCTGCTCACCAAGGCTGCATTTATTTGATTAAAAATACAGTAAAAACAGTAATATTGTGAAAATATTATTATGATTTAAAATTTTTAAAAAATTATTTGAATATATTGTAAAATGTAATTTATGTGATCAAAGTTGAATTTTCTGCATCATTACTCCAGTCTTCAGTGTCACATGATCCTTCAGAAATCAGTATAATATGCTGATTTGCTGCTCAAGTTGAAAACAGTTGTGCGGATTCTTTTTTTTTTCAGGATTCTTTGATGAATAGAAAGACTGAAAAAAAAAATGAAATCTTTTGTAACATTATAGACATTTTTAATGTTACTTTTGATCAATGTGATGCATCCTTGCTGAATAAAAACAAAATATGTGTGTAACCATGTAAATGTAATATCTGAGTGATATGTATTTGTGAGTTGAATGCCTTTGGTAAAAAGCACTAGTGTTTGATGAGCATTGACTTACGATGAGGATGCCGACGGCAGCAGACAGCACCAGTGAACTGTCATACACAGCGCCTGCGATGTACGCCGCCTCCTTCTGACTGTACCCACTGTATTTATCCTGGATAAACTTACTGAAAACACACACACAGCAACACATGAACAATGTGTACAAATCCATTTTAATGTAGAAACGTCTACATGGTTCATAACTGTACCTGGCATCAGCGATGAAGGGGAAGATGCCATTATAAAAGAACATGATGGTAAGAACCAGCAGCCAGTATCTGAGAGACAGACGCTTCACATCCTGAACTCTCTACACACACAAAATACAGCAGCTGTATCACAACAACAAATCATTAAAACCAATCTAAAACATAATGATACTATATATATATATATATATATATATATATATATACACACACACACACACACACACACAGTATATATTTATATTTGCATAGATCGTTATCATGTTGGAATAATGCCCAGTCTCCGAAGGGAGGGGATCATGCTCTGCTTCAGTATCTCACAGTACATGTTGGCTTTCATGGTTCCCTCAATGAACTGTAGCTCCCCAGTGCCGGCAGCACTCATGCAGCCCATCTTGACACCATCTGAACCAAAGAAGTTTATCTTGGTCTCATCAGACCACAGTACATGGTTCCAGTAATCCATGTCCTTAGTCTGCTTGTCTTCAGCAAACTGTTTGCGGGCTTTCTTGTGCATCATCTTTAGAAGAGGCTTCCTTCTGGGACGACAGCCATGCAGACCAATTTGATGCAGTGTGCGACGTATGGTCTGAGCACTGACAGGCTGACCCCCCCACCCCTTCAACCTCTGCAGCAATGCTGGCAGCACTCATACGTCTATTTCCCAAACACAACCTCTGGATATGATGCTGAGCACGTGCACTCAACTTCTTTGGTCGACCATGGCGAGGCCTGTTCTGAGTGGAACCTGTCCTGTTAAACCGCTGTATGGTCTTGGCCACCGTGCTGCAGCTCAGTTTCAGGGTCTTGGCAATCTTCTTATAGCCTATGCCATCTTTATGTAGAGCAACAATTCTTTCTTTCAGATCCTCAGAGAGTTCTTTTCCATGAGGTGCCATGTTGAACTTCCAGTGACCAGTATGAGAGAGTGAGAGCGATAACACCAAATTTAACACACCTGCTCCCCATTCACACCTGAGATCTTGTAACATTCATGAGTCACATGACACCCAATTTGGACACTGTCACTTAGGGGTGTACTCACTTTTGTGGCCAGTGGTTTAGACATTAATGGCTGTGTGTTGAGTTATTTTGAGGGGACAGCAAATTTACACTGTTATACAAGCTGTACACTCACTACTTTACATTGTAGCAAAGTGTCATTTCTTCAGTGTTGTCGCATGAAAAGATATAATAAAATATTTACAAAAATGTGAGGGGTGTACTCACTTCTGTGAGATACTGTATATATATATATATATATATATAAAAAAGAAAATGCACATATATAAAAGTTTATTATTAATATCATTATATTATATTGCAGCAATAGCACTAGTATAGTAGTATGGTATTCCCAACATATATCAGCTTATGGCATCTTTATCTGTCTCACCACTTTGCGTGACTCCTCCTGAATCACTCCATCCAATCCCAGCTGCTTCATGCCCATCTTATCCAGAACACTGACCATTACAGCCGACAGGAAGCCAAGAACACACAGGAACGTGCCTTTGCACATAAAACAGATGCATAAGGCTCTACAACATCCCCAGAACGTCATATCAAGAGTCTAATCGTGTGCATGCTGTGTTTCTCACCTCCCCACAGTGTCCACTGCATACCGTACTGAGACTCAAACCTCTGTGTCAGGAAGAAGTTCAGAACCGAGCCCAAGCGGGAGAAGGCCAGAGTCAGTCCAAACGCCAGAGCCAGCTCCTTCCCACGGAACCAGAACGCCGTGATACGGTTTTGGACAACTGAGAAATGAATGAGATTCAATGTAACTTAATGCTTTTTACGGGTGTGTTAGTAATGTTTTTGGCAATGAAAACCCTTGTTTATTAAGTGTGTAAAGAATCTGAGAAATAAAAGCACATTTGTATGTTGTTGGATCCTTTTAGGTCTTTGTAGGGTTCTCTATCATAATGCAGATCGATAGTCAACCAGTGGAAATGGATGTTAAAATGTTTCACTTCTATAATATGACATATTTCAGATTTTCGATGTGCCAGACAGAATGAGAGCTTGTTAAAACAATGACTAAATTATTATACAGTCCAATAAACTCAGTGGAAATGGAAAGTCATTTCAGAGGAAGAAGAAGCATTTCAATTCTCAGTAAAGATTACAATTTGATTGTTAAGATTGTTTTCTTTGGAATAGCATGTACAGATGAATCATGTACAATAAAACCAGAAATATGAAGTGAGGTAGATATGTGGGGGCGTGTTAGAACGAGCCGTTTTAGGGGCGTTTTAGTTTTGAGACTTTAGTCTTTGCAACTTCAGGGATCTTATCTATGCACAATCAGCTTGTAACACTCCAAAGAGAAAGGAAAACTTGAAATCGCATCATATGAACCCTTTAAGGAAGTAAACAGGCCACAGGGAAGTAAAACCATTTAAATGGATCAGACTGAGTTTTTGATTAAAAAAAAAATTGCAATTAATTTTGATGCAACACTGATGCTACTGACATTAGAGTTAATTTTCATTTTTTTTTAACTTTCATTTTTACTTCACTATAATTAGCTTTTATTTAGAGACCATTTACTTTATTACTTTATTTTCAGTCTCCTGAAAATCACAACAAATTCCTTGTGTGTTTGTGCGAATATACTGTAGATCATCTGCCTTTTCTCAAACGCCTAATCATTTTTTAAATGTAATGTGCAGTAATATTGTCCCTCTGACCGTCAATATTTATTTTAATTTGCAGCTTGGGAACTCAGCTAACGACTTGCTGACAGAGTAGGGAACAATAAAACACAAACAATACTTAATCAATCTAAATTCACATATAATTTACTTCATTTTTATTGTTTTTATCCTTGTTCCTAATATACATTTTATTTCTATTCTCTTAAGGGGGTCTGAATACTTTCCGTACCCACTGTATATGTATGCATGCATGTACGGACCCAGTGCTCCTGAAAACCTCAACAAATTTCTGTGCACACTTGGTGAATAAAACTAACCTAAACACTAAATTTAGAACCAAAGATTTGGCGTTTCTAGCATTAAATCTGCTTAATGTCAGTGGTGTTACAGGTGAATATCTGATGTCATACTGGTCAGGGATCCGTTTCCAGAACCAAACAGAAGTCGTCCGGTAAGCATGAGGGGCAACAGGTATGTCGTGCCCTTAAAATGAGACCCCAATGCAAAGATAGCCGATCCCAACACAGTCAGGAAGGAGAACAGGAAAACACCAACTACAGGAGAGAAAATCCAAACACTTGCATCAAACGTCACATATTCAAAAAACAATACTGAATATTGACGAAATTCAGATGGATTTCAAAACAGCTTACTAAAGATAAGGAAAATGTTATCCTACTTACAGCGGTTGCCCAACTTATCAATAAGGAATCCCGCCATGATGACCACCACAGCATTCCTGGGAAAACAAGACAATACTAATTTTAAAGCTGATAAGTAGGGTGAAGCTTTAGAGACTGACAGACGGTCATTTCATTCTTGCTGTGTGAGTCTCACGTCCAGGCGTAGATGGCATAAAGCAGGTTGTACTCCTGTGGCGTCATTCCCAAACCTTCCACACACGCTCCTGTGCCATTAGCAGTGCTGTTACTCACCGTCCCGTTTGGACATGTCAAATTCTGTAAGAGAAAACAGAGAAAACGTACTTAGTTCCTGAACCAGAGAGCTTTATATGTAATATTTGCTACTCTCATGTTGTTTAAAGGGTCATAACAAACATTAATGTATTATATAATTTGTTAGTAATTCATTTTCACATACAATTATCTGATTTCAGACTTTATCCTTTTATCTATCCTGCTCCTGTTCTGTTATTGTGATTGGTTGGCCAGGTTTCTGGTCACCCAATAAGATTTCACTTTAGTGTAAATGTGGGCGGTCATATGTTCTGATGTATTCATCTGTCTGGCAGTGTATGTAGCTCATTCACAATAAATGCTCAGTTGCATTTGTAAATACTGTCACATATCTCAAAATATCAAGGAAAATGTGATCCCTCATAATATGACCACTTCAAATCTGCCTAAACTAAGAGATGTGCAAGTGAGGTCAGAGGTCAGTAAGTTGGTTCTCACCCCCTGAAACTGCTCCTGCAGGACACTGGGAATGTCAAAGCAGAAATAAGAGCCGAAAGTCAGCATACAGTTAAAAAACAGGACCACAAACCGGTAATAGGCTGTAAAAACACACATATATTCACACAGAGGGACGAGTTAGTCATCAGAAAACAACACTTATGAGCTATGAATCTCTCATGAAGTATGATATATTTATAGTTTTTAATTAAGAAAACGTATAAGTTTAACATTGAATCCATCCCATCTGCCTCTGTTTACAAGCTGAGTGTTTATTTTAAAAATGGCACTGAATTCACAAACATCCTGAAACCATTGGAAAGCTTAATTTACCTTGTTCTGCTACTTCGGCCATCTCGACCCCACAGAAAACACTGCAGTCCTCTCAAACAACGACAAAGCAGACTCAATTCGTTTTGTTTACGTGACCCACAAAGGTGGAGCTCTTCAGAATGTGCCGCAGATACCTGATGATCTATAAATCATGATGAACTGATTTAAAGCGTTAAACTGTGGGAACAGTCTATCCGGATGTTCTATCGACTTCCGCATTCCGCGTTACGTCACAGTCTGGGAGTCATGTGACTGGCCGCACGATGTTGTTTTTCGCAGCGCTGACGCAGCATTTAGTGTTGATTGGGTAATCATGAAACAGCCGAGACCCCAGATAAATAAGAGATTAGATCATTTAATCATGTATGTTTATTCATGTTTTAAAACAAATCGGTACTCATTTAAGTCTCGTGATATGTAGGGAAAGAAAATGTATTTATATAGGATATTTCATAATCTGTGGTAAATTAAAGCGCTTTAAACAGGCATAAAAGACACAAACCCGCTTCACAGACAAGGCTTAAAGGGATAGTTCACCCAAAAATGAAATTCTGTCATCATTTACTCACCCTCATGTCGTTGCAGACCTGTATGAGGTGCTTTCTTATGTTGAACATAATAGAAGATATTTTGAAGATTGCTAGTAATCAAATCAATTTTTTTTCCTACTATAGATGTCAATGGCAGCCACCAACTACCAGCAATCTTCAAAATATCTTCTTTTATGTTCAACATAAGAAAGCAACTCATACAGGTTTGCAACGACATGAGGGTGAGTAAATGATGACAGAATTTCATTTTTGGGTGAACTGTCCCTTTAAGCCTTGTCCCAGACTAAAATGTAATCTGAGCAATCTGAGCTGTTTCAGCTGAAAGAAGCTTGCACTGATTGATCTTAAAATATATCGATGCCTTTCTTTTGTCTCAAGATGGACACCAGTAATGCTTTTTTTTTCCTATGGCACATTTATAAAAAATTACTTAAATGTCCTAATTGAACTATGACCTAATCCTGGTTTAGTCTAAACCCTGTCTGTGAAACCAGGCCTAAATATTTCAAAATTGATAAAATTTTTTGTATATATATATATATATATATATACAGTGTTGGGGGTAACGTATTACAAGTAACGTGAGTTACGTAATCAGATTTATTTTCTTTCAAGTAACTAGTAAAGTAATGCATTACTTTTTAATTGACAAGAGAATATCTTAGTTACTTTTTCAAATAAGTATCGTAAGTTACTTTTTTTTCCAATTTATTGATTGACAGCTCTGGGAAAATATAACTTTTTTATTTTAAAAACAAACAAGCAAGCCCTGTCCAGATTTAAAAAGTAACGCAAAAGTAACGTAACGCATTACTTTCCATAAAAAGTAACTAAGTAACGTAATTAGTTACTTTTTTATGGAGTAACGCAATATTGTAATGCATTACTTTTAAAAGTAACTTTCCCCAACACTGTATATATATATATATATATAGAACAACATAAAATATATGGAACAAACCTGGAACAACATATAAAACTACCAAATTTAGCTTAGTCTCAATGTTTAATCGCAAAGTTTAATTGCAACATATAATCATTGCAGTTAATAGGGTTTTTACCGTCTGTTTCATTACGTGTCATTTGTAATTAACTGCATGATTTTCTCACATAGTCTCCACTAAAATCCTACTCCTAAATATAATGTAGAAACGTAACATTTTCTGTAAAGCTGCTTTGCAACGATTTGTATAGTGAAAAGTGCAATACAAATAAACTTGAATTGAATTGGGGGGAAAAAATAAATATATATATATATATATATAGTGTATACAAGACATAGACTGAAAAATTATATATAGGATATATACTGAAATCAAAATAACACTGTGCAAAAAAAGGTTCAATGAAAACATTAGAATGTACAATTATACATTGTATAAATAAAACTGAAAAATCTACCGAAAAATCTAATCGAAATGAAACAAAAACTTACTTCTACAAATGTTTTTATCATTTTCGAAACGCAATCCGTACTACTCTTGTCCCTCTCAGCGCCCCGTATTTGTTTACATTCGCACGCAGCTTGTTGGAAACGAACAATTTACCGAGTGTAGGAAACAATAAAACGCATTAATCGACATCTGCTCAGGCTCAATTTACATATAATAACTCGATTATCATACAGCATATTAAATCCCGCAGAGGATTTAAAGGGATGTCAGCCGTGCAGAGAGCGAACACGTGGGAGATCTCAGACTCAGAGGAAGAGAGTGATGAAAATAAACCATCATCATCATCATCATGTGTAATGCTCGATCAGGACACATGCACGGATGAATCAAACCCTTCAGCCGCATCCAGGAGCACTTCCGGGCGGCCAGAAGACCGCAGCATCCGCGCGGCTGGAGAGAAGAGGAGGAGGAGGACGCGAGAGGAGGAGCAGGAGGTCCGAAGAGCTGCCTCAGAGACACGGAGACAGCTCCGAGAGGAGAAGCTACAAGAGCAGCAGCGGAGGACAGAGGCCGCGGTGAGAGTGAGCCTGTTAAAGCCGGAGAACTTCATCAAGAGGCTGACGCTGCAGATTCACGCAGGTCAGAAACGACTCGTTTCATCACACAAGCAGATGTCTTCTTCAGGCTGTTTGAGGATTGTGTACTATCATAATATTTTGAATTGGCATTTATTTTTATATTTTCAGGTTTTATTTTGAGTGATTTTATGTGCTTTTTTTCCATTTTTATTAGTGTATAAAAAAAAAGATATTTAGCTTACCTTTATTAAATTTTTAGATGTAGTAATTTTAGTATTTAACCCTTTAACTGTCACTCACATTTTTGAACATAGTCTCAGGCTGTTTGAGGATTGTGTACTATCATAATATTTTGAATTGGCTTTTATTTTTATATTTTCAGGTTTTATTTTGAGTGATTTTATGTGCTTTTTTTCCCATTTTTATTAGTTTATAAAAATATATATATTTAGCTTACCTTTATTAAATTTTTAGATGTAGTAATTTTAGTATTTAACCCTTTAACTGTCACTCACATTTTTGAACATAGTTGTGAAAGTGCACGATCCAAACTTACATTTTTTATAATTCATGAACGAAAACATTTTGTAACATGATATTGATGTACCGTTTTCATGGTAATGCAATGTTTGATTTTAAAATGGGTTTCAAAGGATGAATTTTGAGATTTGAAGTTTTCAATTGCTGTATAATTTCTGATGATTTGTAGAGAAAAAGGCAACAACGAAGACTTTTTTTGACAAAGGTCAGAACTCCTGTTATGATGAAGATTTTTGAGGTGCACTCTTGTCATAAATTAATCTATTACTTTTCCTACATAGATATTTTACCAATGCATTTTGGAGTCTTAGACCTTTCCAACGATACATAGTTTGTCATGATTAGATTAGGATTTAATTGTAATATAGTGAAGTAAAACTTAGGCGTCCCACAGAGGGGACGGGCGACAGTTAAAGGGTTAAATTTAAACTTATTTTATTTGAGTCTGTTGTCAAAGTAACATTTCTAATTCTCAAGTGTCCCCCCCCCCATCTGATATTTATTTTTTTTTGTGCTGTCAAACGATTAATCATGATTAATCGCATCCAAAATTAGATTTTTTTTGTTTACATAATATATGTATGTAATGTGTATATTTATTATGTATTTAGAAATGCACGTACATGCACATATACTGTATATTTAAGAAAATATGTTGTTTATATATTAAATACCCCAGAGGGGACGGGTGACAGTTAAAGGGTTAAATTTAAACTTATTTTATTTGAGTCTGTTGTCAAAGTAACATTTCTAATTCTCAAGTGTTCCCCCCCCCCCCATCTGATATTTATTTTTTATTTTATTTTAGTGCTGTCAAACGACATCCAAAATTAGATTTTTTTTGTTTACATAATATATGTAATGTGTATATTTATTATGTATTTAGAAATGCACGTACATGCACATATACTGTATATTTAAGAAAATATGTTGTTTATATATTAAATAGTGCTGTCAAACAATTAATCTCGATTAATCGCATCCAAAATAAAAGTTTTGTTTACATAATATATGTAATGTGTATATTTATTATGTATTTAGAAATGCACGTACATGCACATATACTGTATATTTAAGAAAATATGTTGTTTATATATTAAATAGTGCTGTCAAACAATTAATCTCGATTAATCGCATCCAAAATAAAAGTTTTGTTTACATAATAAATGTATGTGTGCTGTGTGTATTTATTATGTATATACAGTATAAATACACACACATGCATGTATATATTTGAGAAAAATATGCTAAATATATTTACATATAATATAAATTATATAAATATACACATGTAAATATTTTCAAAATATATACTGTATGTGTGTGTATTTATATATACATAATAAATATTAATCGTTTGACAGCACTAATATTAAATATATTTATATATATATTATAAATTATACAAATATAAATATATGCACGTACACATTTTAAAAATATATACTGTGTGTGTGTGTATTTATATATAAGTGAATATAAACATATACATGTCAATATTTTCAAAATATATACTGTATGTGTGTGTATTTATATTTAAGTAATAAATATACACAGTAAACACTATGTAAACAAAAACTTTTATTTTGGATGCGATTAATCGTTT